GCGCCTGACTGCCGCTCCCGTGCGGACGGGGCAGCCGAGACACCGCGCAGCGACGGCAGGAGCGGGCCGGGCTGGGGGCAGCTGGCGCCCCGGCCACTGAAACAGGGAGTGCAGACTGCCGGTTCCCTGTCCCCTTCTCCTCTCCCTGCTCCCGTTTGGCCAGACCCGCAGGGTCTGTGCTGCTGCCTGCCCCACCAAGGCTTTGTGCTGGTCCTTTTGTCACCCCCCATCAGATGAGTACTGGGAACCATTCTCCCTGACAATCCCTTACTGAACCCTGAAAAATCAGGTCTCTGGAATCCCGCTTTTGCCACTGATTGGGTTCTCATTCCTGGGGATATTACCTCCTCCGTCACATTGCCTTTGTCCCTGCTAACCCTCAGTAGCAGATGTGGGACAGGAACATTGTTGCCCATTATCTCCGTTTTCCCTCTGCTCACAGCCACTGTCCCTCTCACTGCCAGTCAAAGCTATTCAGAACCAAGTGAAACTCGGGAGCATTGTCATAAACCCGTTCACAAAACGGTAGGGTGTGAAATGGTTGCAAAATGCTTCCAAGGGACAACAGAGACGTGGGGATGAGTGGCAGCTTCCTGAGAGGATGCTAAATAGGGACTTGGAGACATCTCACTCTGCCAGAGATGCTCTGAATGACTCCGTGAGAGTCTCTTAGCATCCCAGTGCCCCAGCTTCAGTGCCACTGTTTGTATATGTCACCTAAGAGACCCCGCTTTCACCTCTGTGCCTGTTCTATACCTGTCCTGTGCACAGGTAGGTGGACCAGAGCTAACCCAGAAGAGATAGATTTGTTTCTCTGCTGCATCAGTGAGTTCCCTGATCCAACCAGTTACAAAGCCATCTCTTCATGCTCACTGTGTCTCAGTTCCCACCTGTAAATGGGACTGAAGCACTGCTTTGCCTTCATGTAGATGGGTCCTGATCCACAGGGAGAACCTTAAAGCTGTAGCAAGAGTACAGTGTCCAACCTGCCACCACATCCTTCCTGGCACTCTGCTCCTGGACACTGCCTGTCCCTGAAAATAACTCACCAAGATCCCCAAATTCCCATTCCTACAGGCTCAAGAAATAGGCTGGGAGCTGAGCGGTGAATAACAACAGCAGTGGCTCCCTGGCAGCCAGAAGGTTTTTCCAAGTAAAGTATGAGCCACCCACGTGCACATCACAGTATGTCAGATCTGGACTGCAACCAGGCTATGTGATGTGCCAGTACTCCAAACTGATTTCACCGCAAGTCACACCAGTGAAGGGGATGTTTGCAGGGATGTTTCCTTGATTTCCTGGGGGGTGCACAGGTATTCCCTGTCTTTTTGCTCTCTTTAGAGCAGCCTTTGAGGAGCAGCTCATCTGCCTTGCTAGAGAGAGCAAAGAAAGGACACTTGGCAACGAGAAGAATGGGGGGAGCGGGATGCAGAGTGAAGCAGCCAGAGACTCTACCAGGCAACACAGACATTGTCTGGGTGAATGATAAGATGAAGTTGGTTTATAGTTGAGCTGTCAGTTCTTCTCCAGTTTTGCTAATACCTTTATCAGCCCCACAGAAGAATCTCAGTGCCACAGCCTCGCATGGGGTATAATTCCAGGCACAGCCTAAGTCAGTGCAATCAACTGGCAGTAAGAATAAAATACCAGTGGCATCCTGAGTTGCTCTCCCCTGCATACAGGGAAACTCCCTGGTCCCAGAGGGGTTAGGCAGTATGAGAAGAGCCCAAGGTCCTCAACCAGATTCTGGCACCAGACCCTCTGGCAGGCCCCCATCCATCTATCTCTCAGTCTCCTGCCAAGGGCCTGTGTAAGCTCCGCTGCTTCCCACACATCCATACTGCATGGGGTACTTTCTTCTTTGGGTGGTTGCAGGAGGACTTTTGCCTCTACTGAATTGACTTACTTTGTGCACCAAGGCAGAGCTAGCAGAAACAAGTAGCATGCACTTCAGAATTGGCCATCCCAGCTTTCCAGAGGAAAGCTCGTCACTCTGCCACACAAGCAGCATTCACGGAGCTCAAAGTTACTATAAAACAGAAGAGTCTAAGCCAAACATAAAATTTCTGTGCTGCATCTGCCACAAGGCAAATTCACACTCATAACAACTTAAGCCATCCCTGTGAAACACCCCCCACCCCACCCCCGCTTCAGGCTGGGCAGGTGCTCTTAGACCAATCCACACATTCACAAATGAGGTGCAGTGACCTGTCGGGTCCCAGAGTCCAAATCCCAGGTAGCAGCATGAGCTTTCTGCTGCCCAGAGGAGAGGGTGCCATGCCAAGCAGGGTATTTGACTTATACCAGCTGCTGGATAGTGCACAACAGGGCAACCAAAAGATGCATCCTGCTTCCTAGACTTTATGAGCCTTTGGCACTTGCCTTTGGGGAGACTTGCAACTATATGGGAACAGTCTCATTACAGCTGCAGTAATGCTGAACAGGGCTCCGTGTGATTGCATGCAGCTTGCTGGCATCCCCGTATCTGCAGTGCTACCAGGACCACCTGCAGCCAGGGACCCATGCTCATAGTCCCTTGCAGTGCTTCTGCTTCAGACACTCTCACTGCCAGTGCTCCTTGCTCCAGGGGGCACTTGCTAATTCCCCAGCCTGAAAGAGAATGGACAAGCTAGACGCTGGTTTCTTGCACAGACTCTGCAGTCTCCATACCCATGGTGAGTCAGCCTCGGGCCACACTCTGGTAACCACAGCACATCCCTACAAATACTGCAGAAGGGAAAGAACCCAAGCCATGGGTTTATTCAAGGGAAGCTGTGCCTGTGTCTGTATATGATATTCCCCTAGCTCCAGAACTCAAAAACATGCAGACAGATTTCTATGCCTGTGGCAGAGAAAATAGTGTTTCCATGCACAACCTCACCTTCTGATTTCAGTCCAAATGCTTCTTTTGGGGGCAGGAGAATGATACAAAAAGCCCAAGTCCTGGGGAGAACTGCCCTGTGAAACACATGTATCTGGGTCACTGATACCAAAGCAGGAGTGGTCCCATCAGAGCTGTCCCCCTCAGAAAGTCCCCACCTGGGCACAACATGGACCTGTCTAGTAGCTGTCATGCCAAAAGCATTTCCAGCCCCATGCCTAGTGTGCAAGGTTTATTCTAGGAGCAGGTACCAAAATAGCTGGGAGCAGAGGAGGGGTAAAACTCTGCATGTCAGTCCTAGGGGAGCAAACATCTCGGCTCGTCCAGCTGGTCACTGTGAGGCTGGAGTTCCATTGCTGTGAAGGAACATCACACCCCTCCTGCCATCAACTGGACCAGCTGGGGGCTGGAGATCCTGGCTCCATTCTCCCTCAGAGAAGGAAGCTGGGGGCAGATGCCATCATCTCTCCCAGACCTCACCCCCAGCAGGATCAATCCAAGAGAGGTGACAGTCCCCCTGTGCTCTGCACTGGTGAGGCCACACCTGGAGGGTTGTGTCCAGTTTTGGGCACCTCAATAGGAGAGAGATCTCGAGGGGCTGGAGCGAGGGCAGAGGAGGGCAACGACGCTGGGGAAGGGCCTGGAGAATCAATCCTGTGAGGAGAGATTGAAGGAGCTGGGAGTGTTCAGTGTGAGGAGGAGAAGGCTGAGGGGAGACCTCATCACTCTTTGCAGCTCCTGAAAGGACATTGCAGAGGGGTTGGTGCTGGTCTCTTCTCACAGGTGATCAGTGACAGAACAAGAGGGAACAGCTTTAAACTGCAACAGGGGAGGTTCAGACTGGACATTAGGAGAACACGTTTCACAGAAAGAGTGGTCAGAGAGTGGAATAGGCTGCCCAGGGAGGGGGTGAACATGGGCTGTGGATTCATTCCAGGGCCAGAATGGGGGAGCAGGGCACCCCTTACCTCCAGCCTAATCCTACCTGTCCTCCAGGCCAGCAGTGTCCAGAAGAAACTGCTGAAAATCATGTGGGTCAGTGAGCTGAAAATGGAGCTCTGTGTCTCCAGTGAGCCAACAGGCCCGTCAGCCAAGCTAACAGGCTAAGCAGTGTTTCTCTAGTCTCTCACATCTTTCTCTGTTGCCCCAGGCTCTAGCATCTCACCACGACACAGAATGACGGAGCATGAGGACTTCGCAAGCTTGGCTGGATACTGGAACTCCTCTGACAGTTACCAATTCAGCCCTGCCAGTGTCATTGTCCCTGTGGTCTTCTCCCTCATCTTCCTCCTGGGCACAGTGGGCAATAGCCTGGTGCTGGCAGTGCTGCTGCGCAACGGGCAGATGGGCCACACCACTACCAACCTCTTCATCCTCAACCTCAGCCTGGCTGACTTCTTCTTCATTGTTTTCTGCGTGCCTTTCCAGGCCACCATCTACTCCCTTGAGGGCTGGGTCTTCGGCTCCTTCATCTGCAAGGCTGTCCACTTCTTCATCTACCTCACCATGTATGCCAGCAGTTTTACTCTGGCTGCCGTCTCTGTGGACAGGTAACAGTCTGAAGATGCCCTTGTGCTGGGGAAGGAGGGCAGTCTGAGAAGCTGGAGTGAGTGAGGGCATGGGAAGATCGTGGCCCACCACCTTCAGGCCGATGGTTCAAACCCCAGTGGTATCGATCCACACCAAAGGCAGTTTGGAGACCAGTCATGTCTCTCTTGCCCTAACAACCCCCAAGCAGCACTTTCAGATCCCTTGAATGCAAAGCTGATGCTGCTCCTCTCTGTGCTTTCTGCAGGAAAGACCTACCTTGCAGTTAGAGCATTTGAGACCCAAGCTAAGCTCCCCACCGTGCCACAGACTCCCACTGAGAGTCACCTCGCTCTGTATTAGAGAGGCCGCTCAGAGAGTAATAGCTATCCCCAAGGTACCCTTTCAGAAAAGCATCATGTGCAGGCAGCAAGGTGGACAGAGAGCACCATAAGAGAAGCCACATAAATACCCACAAGAGAGATCCCAGTCTTGCAGTAAACATACCATTCCCCAGGGGTTGCCAGCCCAGGCAAAACCTGTCATCTTGCAATTCCTGTTCCCCCACCACCCCCAGCCCTCCAGCACTGTGTGCAGAAGGGCACCTGCACTGTGAGCCGAGTCCCTTCTTGGGAAGTCACCCAGGACGCTCTGGCCCCGATGGGTGCCACCTACATTGTTCCCAAGGACTTTGTAAAAGTGACTGTCAGCTGCCCCACTTCTGATAGAGCCCACACTTACGGTCCAGGATGAGGAAGAGGTCCCCACTGGGGTAAGCCTTGACTGTCACAGGGAACATGTCCTGTCCCGTCTTGCTCCTTGTGCTGGCTTCCAAGGTATAAGATAAGATAGAGCCCAACAGCCCTCTGCAATGAAGAGGTTCACAGTACTGTAGGCAGAAGGAACCTTCAGTACGAGGGATTATCTGGGATGGGTTAAATCCAGCAAAAAGTGTGGTTGGGCTACTCATCAGCCCTCTTCCAGTTCGTCCAGCTCCCAGGTGCCACCTGCAGAAATAGGCATCTCCTGGTTGGGGTGAGGGGGTCACACAACAGAAATCCCTGACAAAAATATCCCAGTCCTCTGGGATTCCAGTGGTTACACAGTTTGGTTGCTGTCATGAGGAAGACCCAAGATTTCTCATGATTTAAGCCTCTTGCTTCCCTGCACCTTCATTAGACGAGTACAGTCTGCCTCTCCAGCCAGGTCAGAACCAGGCACAGTATCTCAAAAAAAAAGGCCATTTTGGCAATGTGTTAGTGCTCTGTTCTCTCCTTTTCTGGTGGCACTTGTGTGCTGTAGTGCAGTGCTCCACCCAAGAGGTGGCTGCAATTCAGTATGACATGAAGAGATTCTCGCTGAGCTGCCATCTGCTTGCAGGATGACAGGACCAGCAAGCAACGAGAGTTTTGTCACACCAGCTGCATGTCTTATCTACCTGCTCTGCTGGCCTTACAGTGCATCAAATGAGCTTCTGTTTGTGGATGCTGGCAGACTGAGGCTGCAGCAGTTGTGCCCCTGTCTGTGCTGACAGGTCCTCTCCATCCCCTAACCACAAGCACCAAGCCACCTTCTCTCCTTGCTGACATCTACATCTTTGCCCTGTGGTGTTGCCTGGAGGTGGGGGAGCAGAGCTGCCCATCACACCATATCTAGCCACTGTTGCTGGAGGGAGCAGACAGACCATCACTGCCTGATTTGGGCTGACCTGAGACAGTGCCAAAAGGCAAGGGCCCCTGGTCCCTTTGGTACCAAGGTGGAGGCAGCCACAGCTCCACTGAGCAAATCTCACCCCCAACCAGGCTGATCTGAAAGCTGGAGAAGGCTGGAAAGACATCTTCAGTGGGCAGGGGCCTGTACAGTGCCCATCACCCAGTGAAACTTCCCCAGTTCTTGAATCCTTAGTTCAAACATTCTGCTGGATAAATTCTTCCAAGCAGTGGATATCTGCATGGTCTCCACAGTACCACCTCTCTGGCCCTAGCTCAGAGCCACAACCCAACCCACCATGTACAGAGGGATGAGTCAGCCTAAGCCTGTGGGAGGAGAAGCATCCTTGCTAGAGAGAAAAGCTGCTTTACCCAGGACTGTACCTCAAATAGGGTGTGAGATAACATGTAGGGCCACTGCTCAGGGACCTCAGGAGAAAGAAAGAAAGAAACTCTCTTGTCCCTGGAGATTGTGTGGCCAGGCAGAGCTTGACTGAAATCTCAGTGCTGGTTGCTCTGCTCTCCCCTCCAGGTACCTGGCCATACGCTATCCACTGCGCTCCCGGGAGCTGCGGACCCCCTACAACGCAGTGGCTGCCTTGGCTGTGATCTGGGGCCTCTCCGTGGTCTTTGCTGGGCCCTACCTAAGCTACTATGACCTGATTGAGTGGGAGTCCAGCTACATCTGCATGCCTGGCTGGGAGGAGTGGAGACGCAAGGTCATGGACACCAGCACATTTGCCTTTGGCTATGTCATCCCAGTGCTGGTCATCAGCCTCTCCTATACCAGGACCATCAAGTACCTGTGGACAGCAGTGGACCCCTTGGAGGACATATCAGAGTCCAAGAAGGCCAAGCGGAAGGTAACCAAGATGATCATCATTGTAACTATCCTTTTCTGCCTCTGCTGGCTGCCCTACCATGTAGTCATCCTCCGATACCTCTATGGAGACTTTCCCTTCAACCAGGCCACCTATGCCTTCCGCCTGCTTTCCCACTGCATGGCCTATGCCAACTCCTGCCTCAACCCCATTGTCTATGCCCTGGTCTCCAAACACTTCCGAAAGGGTTTCAAAAAGGTTTTCAGCTGTCTCTTGAGGAAAAAGCACCGCAACAAGGTGCATGTGGTGCACACTGCCCACATTGTGCCTGGATTTGAGGCAGGCTCCACTGAAGTGTCCCAGATGCACGAGGAGAATAACAGGTGTGAGATGAACCCAGTCTCCATGGCAGTTCCTTCCAGTTCCTCCAAGCCCCTTCATATTTCTTAGTGGCCAAGCTCCACACCATCTGCCAGCTCAGCTGTGTCACCAGCTTCAGGCCACTCTTTGCCACTGAGTGAGAGAGGATGCTGGAAAAGCAAGCCAGAAACTGCTATACACTGCTTCTGGCCTTGTCATTCCTTCCCATTCCCTGTGCCAACTGAGCCATCTTCCCACAACATGCTGCATGCAAGGGAAGGAACAGACCCAGACTTGCCCCTCATCCTCAAACCACCTGGACTCCAAGGACTAAAGCTCCAGCTTTTCTGTTGGCTACCATCCCTCAAACTCCTCTGCTCTGTGGCCCCACTGCTCTGGACACACTGGTTAGTTGTCAGAGTCCCTTCTGCCTCCCAGTGCCCCATCTCGCCAGACTGGCTCCCACAGCAGGAGTGGCAAGGGAGATGAGCAGTTCAGGCAGGGCCAGGCAATCAGAGATGGTGTGGAAAGAGCATGGCACCACCCGTGGATGGTTGCAGTGATGCATTTTGTGCCAGCTGTGCTGTTCTCCCAGTGACTGGGTCCTCTCCTGGACTGTGGGGTGGCTGTGGGCTCTCTGCATGTGTGGGGTGTTGCTGCTGTACATACTAGAAAAATGTCTTTCTAACCCAGAGCAAATAAATGCATTTCCCTCATACAAGCAATAGTGGGGCCTGCAGTGGTTATCTGGAGTGGGGATGGGCTACCCCATACCTGAACGGGGCCTTTTTTCTAACTGGTGTAAATCACATGCATGTAAAACAATGCACCATGAAAACCAGCACTGAGCAGAGTCTGCAGAGCCAAATCCTGCCTGGTGTCCCCACTCCTTTCTCTGCAGTGTATTTACTGACACAGTTGCCAGGTCCCTGTGCAGGTCAGTGCACAGCTGATAGTTCTCTCCCAAGATAAATGACCGCCACCCTCCACAGTTGGAAGTCTACTGTCAGTGTATAAAAGCAGCTTTACCTGACCACCATGCTTCATAGGGCCCATGGGCACATAAGGAGCCAGTGGGCAGAGGCAGGGTTAAGCAGTTAGTTCAGTTATGGTTCCTCCTGCCTGCATGGCACAGTCTTCGTGCAGGGAACTGAGGAGGCTCACTCTCAATAGTGGAGCAGATGCTCTTCAGGTAATGCTGAACCTCACCTCAGGATCTAAGCATGCACTTGACCCCCTGGAGCTTCAGGAAGGAGAACTCTCCCTTACCAGGGCTGATTAGATGCAAGTGGGTGCCCTCCTGCCATTGCTAAATCACTGCAGATCATAGAACGGTAACATCATAGAATATCTCAAGTTGGAAGGGACCTGTAAGGATCATCAAGTCCAACTCCCTGCCCCTCACAGGGCTATCTAAAAATAAACCAGATGCTCCTTGAACTCTGACAGGCTTGGTACCGTGACCACTTCCCCAGGGAGCCTGTTCCAGTCACCGACCACCCTCTTGGTGAAGAACCTTTTCCTAATGTCCAATCTGCGCTTCCCCTGATGCAGCTTCCTTCCATTTCCTCGTGTCTGATCGCTGGTCACCAGAGAGAGGAGATCAGCACCTTGAGGAGGGTGCAGACTGCGATGAGGTCACTCTTCAGCCATCTCTTCTCCAAGCTGAACATCCAGGCGACCTCAGCTGCTCTGTGTAAGTCTTGCCCTTGAGGCATTTCACCACCTTGGTCGCCCTGCTCTGGGCACACTCTCATAGTCTGATGTCCTTCCTGTGCTGAGGCGCCCAACACTGCACGCAGTGCTCAAGGTGGGGCCGCTCCAGTGCAGGGCAGAGGGGGACAATCACCTCCCTCAGCCGGCTACTGACGCTGTGCCTGATGCACGCCAGGACACGGCTGGCCCTCTTGGCTGCCAGGGCACACTGTTGACTCATATTCAACTTGCCATCAACCCAGACCCCCGATCTCTTTCCACGGGGCCGACTCCAGCCTCTCATCCCCCATTTTGTACGTATAACCAGGATTGCCCTATCCCAGGCAGAGAACCTGGCACTTGCTCTCTGGCCTGTCCAGATCTCTGTAAGGCCTCTCTACGCTCAAGGGCGTCCACAGCTTCTCCTAGTTCAGTATCATCGGCAAACTCACCTAACGTACATTCGATTCCTGCATCCAGATCATGTATAAAAACATTAAAGAGCCCTGGCCCGAAAACTGAGCCCTGAGGAACCCCACTGGTGACTGGTCACCAGCGGGATGTAACCTCATTTACTATTAACTCTTTTGGCCCAACCCATCAGCCAGTTGCTCACCCAGTGTATTATGGATATTGTATTGTCTAGCAGTGTGTTGGACAGGTTATCCAGGAGGATACTGTGAGAGACAGTATCAAAAGCTTTGCTAAAATCCAAACTCACCACATCTGCTGGCTTCCCTTGGTCAACGAGATGGACATAAGCTGGTTAAGCAGGACTTTCACCTCGTGAACCCATGCTGGCTATGACCAGTGACTGCATTGTCTCTCAAGCGTTTTTCAGTAACTCCCAGAATAACCTTCTCCAGAATTTTACCAGGCACTGACCTGAGACTGACAGGCCTGTAATTACCTGGGTCTTCTTTCTTACCCTTCTTGAAAACCGGGACAACATTTGCCAGCTTCCAGTCGACTGGGACCTCTCCAGGCTCCCAAGGCTATTGAAAACTAACGGAGAGAGTTCCCACGATGACATCGGCCCCTGGGATGAATCCCATTGGGCCCCATTTATGCAAATCCAGCTGGAGCAGCAAGACTCGAACAAGTTCAGGGTTGGCTGGGAGTCTGTCATCCCCCCTCAGTCACGGTCTTCCAACACCGGGTGCCAGGGGTCCCAGGGCCCATCAGGGGCGTAAAAGACAGAGGCGGGGAAGGCATTAAACGTCTCTGCTTCGTCTATATCTCTATTTGTGAGGTGACCAACCCCATCAAGTAACAGACTATTGCTAGCTCTTCTTTTGCTGTTAACATATTTTAAAAGGCCCTTTTTATTGTCCTTCACAGTGCTGACCAGCTTGAACTCCAATTGAGCTTTGGCCACATTAATCTTCTCCCTGCAGGGGCAAAGAGCATCCCTGTAATCCTCCCATCTTGCCTGTCCTTATTTCCAGTGTCCATACACTTTCATTTCCTGCCTCAGCTCTAGGAGAAGATCCCTGCTCAGCCAAGCCAACCTTCTGCCCCACTTGCATGAATTCCAACACTCTGGAATTGCCTGCTCCTGCACTTGTAAGAGAAAGCTCTTAAAAAGTGACCAGCATTCATGGACCCCAGACACTTCAAAAGCAGATTCCCAGGAGACCTTACTGACTAGCTGCTTCAGCAACCTGAACTCTGCTCTCCCCATATCCAGGGTCAAAACTTTGCTGGCAGTTTTTCCTTTATCACCAATGATTTGGTGAATCACCAGCTACTCTGTGGTCACTGTGACCAGGACAGCCACCAGTCATCACTCTGTGCGTGAGTCCCTCTCTGTTTACAAACTACAGACCTAGGAGGGCACCTTTCCTAGTCGGCTCCCTCAGTACCTGCACCAAGAAGTTCTCAACATGCTTCAGAAACTTCTTGGACCTGTTTGTGTCTGCTGTGTGATATTCCCAGTTGATGTCTGGGAAATTAAAATCACCCATAAGGACAAGGGCAGTTGATCTAGCGATATCCCTTAATTCCTTGTAGAGTAATTCATCGGAGTCATTCACCTGGCTGGGTGGTCAATAGTAGATTCCCACAACAACATCTGCTTTGTTTGCTTTCCCCATCATGCTTACCCAGAGGATCTCCACCAAAAGACACTGCAGCTGACTGAGAAGCTTGATCTGAAAACCGTATTTCTCATTGTGACTGATGGTAATGCACAACAGCCAAGCTTTGTGAGGCCAAAATCTGCAAGTGAAGACACTTCCACACCAGAGGCTAGCACCTAGGCAGTCAAAACTAGGATTAACTTATTGCTCCTTCCTTGCTGTGCTCAGTATAGTCCAACCAGCTCTCCTCACTAACTCAGGGGCTACGCTGCCTTGCCAACATATGATTCTAATCTTGCAGAGGTGGGCAGACATTGAGATAATGCATACCTTCCTTCCAGCTCTAGGACCAGGACCTGTAGAGCAAAACTGGGTCTCAAAACCATCCTGCTACATTCTCTGCACACCTTCCTAGCCCCACTGGCAAAGCCCTGCAATTTGTCCATCATCACTATCAGTGACATTGCAGGACAGCTTGGAAATACCAGCTATGGGCCCTCACTGCATATGCAGAATGCAGAGGTGATCCCTGTCTCAAAGACAAGGCAGAGCTGGTCCCTGTCCCAAAGACACTACAACCAGAGCCAGGCAGCAGGAGTCTGGCTGGCAGAGCAGGGTATCCAGGGCAGCTGCTTACCCAGCAAGCATGGATGCAGGACAGCGTGGAGCACTTCCAGCAACGGAGTGTCTTCTCACATGTGCTTCTGGCAAGCTACCATCCTGATTCTTAAGGAAACTGCTCAGATATGCATGCTGAAACCCCTGCCCCTTGTACAAAGTCTTACTTTATTCTGTCCTCTGTGAAGAACACGGTCCTCTCCACCTGAGGCCCCTCTGTTAAAGATGAGGGGGAGAACAGCAATTCATTCTCCTTCCTTCACAAAAAGAGTTTGACTTAACAAGCTGGAGAGCAATTTCCAGCCTGTTTGAAACCGATACACAACTCTCAGGATTTGCTCTTGGCTGCTGTAGTAAATTTACCCAATGGTGAGTGCCATAAACAAACTACTTACTGGTTTGGTTTCTGACCGGGAAGGAATCCCCTGGTGCCTCTGCCAGGCAGCTGTACTTAGTGACAGAGAGCTCTCCACAGCCCAGAAACACTTAGTCAACACTCATGAAACAAGAGAAAAACAGTCGCCACTCCAAGGTTTACAACTTCCACCTCTGCCAGTCATAGCAGGCCTAGTGCACCAGACCCAGCTCAGGAGCAAACCAGGCAGAGGAAACCTTGGGCTCAGGAGAAGGAGAACCAGATGCTGCGTGAGCCCTTGCTAATGAAACAGGATCTTCCCCTTCCATTTGGAGCAGCTGCTTCCTTCCAGTCTGATCAACTGTAAAGGGCCTTGGCAGGGCACAGGGGCTCTTTGGGGTTCTTGATAGGCTTTTTATGTGGCATCACCTTGTGGTGCCTGCTTTGAGACCAGTGTTAAGTCATGCACAGCAGGCAGCCTCTCCTGTGGCTGATCACCAAGGACTGCGATTTCTAGTTCAGGCTCTAATGCCATGAACACGTATGAGCTTTAATGGTGACCACTCCAGTGCAGTCTCTCTGCATCCCATCCTTCATTAGTGTTAGTGAAGTTCTGCAGCCAACCACACAGCCTCTAGCTGCTCCATCTGATCAGGAAACACCTTCTCTGCCTCACCTTCATTATTAAGGAGCTGGGTCTGATTTTTCTCTGCTCAAACCAGATTGATAACCATGGCCTTTAGCAAGTCTCTAGCTACTGTTAGAGCTTCTTCTTCTGGGAAAAAAAAAAAAAAAAAAATGGTGAGCTCCCCATACTAGAATGCACAGAGGTGGTTAACCAGAGTCTGCATCTGCTCAAATAGAGGAAAAGCTCTTCCTCTCAAAATAAAAATCCACATTAGTTTGCAAAGATCAAAAGAGAGCATCTCAGAAAGAGATCACAGCAAGATGGAAAAGATGCTTCTTGCAATAGTAACTAATTCTTTTTAAACACAGAAATGCTGTCAAGATGCTCCTCAGAATGACTGAAAATTCAGCTTGCAGCACAAGAAGAGTTCCTGGCATGCTCAGACCAGGAGAACCATTTCAAATGTGATTTGAATGGAAGAGTTCAGTCTAAAGAA